TTAAAACCTGAAGGTTAAGGTACAGGTTCCTTACCTACAATTAAATAAGCAGAGAACAAAACTGAAGGTAAGAGTAGGAATTTACTCTTTTCCGTAATTTAAGTTATGCTAATTTTACCTAAAATAGAAACAGGATATCAACAAACAAATTATTTACTTCCATACGGCAAACTTGTCTAGATTGGCATACTACTGTCAACCATGCAGTAAACCACCCCCAACTCAGGGAATAATCTAGTTAACATGGTGATGTCGCAGGATACACCAGGAAAACAAACAAACAAACAAAACCCTGATACATCCAATTGCAACTAGTCAGAATATGCTAGGTAAGCATCAGCTGGCTGTACCTGCACTAGCATCTTCAGACCCAACTGGCCTCTCTACATTACACTGCCCAGCACCGCAGAAGGTTTCAACAGTGCAGGCAAAGCCTTCTCACTTTAATTCGTAATGATCACTGGAGCGAAGATGAACAGCCAACACCCTACTCCTGAGACAAGCCCTCGTCTCCCTTCAGTAACCAAGGGCAGACATCCACACACTACTTGCTGAAATGCTGTCACCACCTTCTACACCCAGCTTGGCACAGCTTTGCCCCAGCTCCTTGCCCTTCAGTGTAACACAGCATCCCTCATCCGTCATTTCTGTCTCAGGACACCACCAGCACAGCAGAGCAGTACTGCCACAGATCAATGTCCCTCTTTTCTCCCCCTCCTCCTCTCTTCCTACACCAGCTTCAAAACAGGCCTCTGCAATGAAGCCCCGGTAAAACAGGTCTTCAAAGCTCTGGACCCCTGACTGTCCACAGCTACTCCTTGTGATAGAAAGAAGCCCAGTACAACTCCTCCATGGATCCAACACCCCAGCCCCTCTGAATCCAAACCAGCCAACCTTTTGCCTAGCGTCTCCTGAGCAAGGGTAACAGCAGCAGCCTGGCTTTGCTAGGGCATAGCCACAGCCCAAGAACAAGAAGCAGCATTTGCCAAGGTCCTCCAGTCCTGTGGCCTCCCATCTAGCTGCAGGTGAGGAAAGTGCTGTGAGCCATGGAGCCATTGAGATGCCATCCAAATCCAGCCTACAGATTGTCCACTGGCCTTCCCCAATATGCAGTCAAAAATCATCAAGCCAAAAAGACCTAAGCAAAAACTGCAGTCAACACATACTGCCTCAAACCAAAGACAATGTGAAAGAATTGAAGCAATGGCTCACCTTGCACCATGTTCATGCACTTGGTACAGTGCATAAGAACAGACATAAATCAAGGAGACTCTGCTGACAAAATTTCAGAGGTTTCAGATTCTGGGTGCATACAACCTACCCTTGGAAAGAAACTTCAAAATCCAAAAGAATTGAGACTCAAAGGTAAAATCTTGCTCCATAAATCCCTAGAGATTTACAAAATGTGGAAGACTTTCTCTATATTACTTATCTATATTGATAAAAGTGAGAGCCAGGACTGAAAATAAAAATATTGTGGAACATTTTCTGCTATTTATTGTGCCCTGCCAAGACTTCTATCTGATTTTCAGTCCATTTAAATGCTATCCTTAGTGAACTATTCTGGCCCTCAGTATTTTGTGGCAAGTACAAGACACACACAAAATTAAAAACCTTGTTTTCTACAGTTCTCTGAACTGCAAATATTTAAATGATTCATTTTCATTCTTCTGCATAAGCATCATTAAATGTATTCAGTCTACACCAACAATAATTTTATACCTGCAAGCACATATTCTAACTATAATTGAAGTCTTTCAATGTTTTCCCTGTTAATGATATGCAAATTACTGGCATTAAACCAGAACCTCTTTGAAGTTATTTAAATCTCAAATATTTGACTTGATCTACTCTTCCCTAAACTTCAACTATGTGGACAGCTTGAGCAAAACTGTAGTCAGAACAACTTAAAATAATCAGAACAACAAGCCTTAAAACAGTAAGGGCACAAAAGATTCAGGGTAACTGTATAAGACAACCAAAAGCCTGATTTCAGGCCGCTCCATTAAAAGTTCATGACAGCTGGTGTTATAACTGCAGTACAGAGTATTGCAGATCCTCTGGAAAACACTTCAGCTCACAGGAAGACAAATCAGTATTTCTCATAAAAGGCTAGTAGGACTTTCCTACGTTGTGTCAGAGACCACAGTACAAACCAGAATCCAGAAGAGCAAAAGACGCATCTCCTTCCACAGAGCTTCTTAGGGAAACAGCATGTCTCACCCATTATTTATTAGATACTTGACAGCACACAAGACTATGCTTTCGGTATTAAAAAAACCAAAGGAAGCAACTTCTGCTCTGTGGCAGAGGTGACAGGATTCTATAATCCTGCTGTCAGCCTAAATAGCTGCAGTTGCCACTTCCTCATGTAGTACTTGCATAAAAACACTGTGACAAACCTAGCGAACTTGCAAGCTGATCAAGGTTTCCAATAGCTTAGAGCGAATCAGCCCACCTCTCCTTTTCAGAGATTATTTCTAAATCAGTAGCACCTAGGCAATTCAGTGCTCTACTTTGTTCCTTAGACATCTACACATAAAACTCATCCCCAATTACAAACAACTACTTTTGTTCTTCTCCACAGCTATCTGCATTACCAAATTTCCACAGTGTCAGTCTGCATCAAGATCCATAAAGGGACAGCAGAGATGAAGTAAATCTACATTACTTGCATAAAACTTCTATGCAATATATGGTTATAGCACACCAATGTGTCTCAAAGCCAGAAGTTTTAGTCACTTTCATGAATATTAATTTTTCTCTCAAAACTTAAAAGCAGGGTAAATAGCTAAATTGGGAGGAAAAAAATCTAACTTAATTTTCTAGGCAGAAAAGCAACATTAAGATGTGTAGCCATAGCTAAACGCATCTGAAATTCTACAGATATCATCTAATTAAAAGGAGGCAAGCAAATATGATACAAGGAACAAAGAACAGGGATGCAAGCAGCAGGAGCTAACAACTAAATTTAACTACAAGTATTTTCAGAGCCTACACTGAAAAGAAGTATATAGACAGTACAGAAAAACAATTTTAAAATATTTTTAAACAGTTGTGCAGGTCATTAAGCCAAATCTCAGTATTAAGAACTATCTACCTATCCCTTCCGTCTCAAACACTGTGCCGCTCTAGCAGCACTGAGAACAGAAAGGGGTGTGAAATACACAGATACACAAATAATAAGTGATCTGAAATACATCTGCATGGGGTAGACAGCATATGTCCTAAACTGTAAGTTGGTTTTACACCTATTTTGACATGTCAGTCTTACAAAACTGCAATTTGTAAGCAAGTATGCTCTACTACTAAATTAAGCAAATGTAGAATGAATGTAAATTACTTCTATAGCCCAGGAACTTCATACAGAATTTACATTTAAAGTGCAATTAGGACTGGAGCTAAAACTCTAACCCCAACTAAGCTCACAATTTAAGTTTAACTGTTCAAAAGTAGAAACAAAGCCTAATCAGATGCTAGTATTCAACCAGTCTCTGCAGCCACAGAATCATACAGAGTTGCAAGGGGCTCCCCAACAGAAGAGACAAGTCTATTTAGGGCAAAAACTCCAGCAAATTATTTAAATGCTTATTTCTCCATGATAGGCAGCTCCATTTCCTGTTTCTCCCTTCCACCTCTGACGACACAAAACCAGTCCCATAACTATTTCAGCAACAGTGCATCTCTGTTGGTAGCCCAATGCAACCAAACAGATGGGTTATATGGTGGCTAGATAGATAAGGAGGCTTCCCTCTGCACATTTCCACTCCTCCTCGCCATTGTTTCTGTAGGTTAGACTGACAGGCAAATGTACGAAGTACCGTTTTGTACCCTAACATAGCATGTTTAGGAGATAACTACTGTTTTCCTTTCTACTCAGTGAATCTCCGAGACCCTGAAAGTCAAGGAACGATTGCCTCAGCAGCACACCTGATCCTGAGCTGGAAACAGGATAGTACTTGCCATTCACACAATGCCAACATTCTCAGTTCTCAGTGCCACCATTATGGGTCACTAAGCTAAAAATGAAGCCGTTCTCTGGAAAGTAGATCCAAAGTAAAAACAAGAGAGCAACAAGAATTTCCAAAAGAATGACAGAACTCAGGACTGCACTTTATCTGTTACATGTAGGATTTTCTTCCTGTTCTGACCTCAACTTACAGCCTTTGCATTGTAGTCGTTTGTATTGACTACATACAGGAATCTCCACAGTCTGGCTTAGCTTTTAATTTTTCCTCACGCTTTTAAACAGATCATGACACATCATTGCAGTAATGAAATAACCTTTTGATTTGTAAAATCCCTTCAAAACTTCTTTCATTGCTTTTCTGTTAAGTCTAGTACCTCTCAATAAAAGCATATCAGTGTAAGAGCGAAGAACCATGAAGTAATTTCAACAGCACCTGGCAGTTAATCCACAACAGCCCGAGACACTGCATTAGCTTCCCTCACTGTTGTTCATTGCAAATGACAGATAGACTCTAACTACACCTAAGAAGGAGCAGATTGTCATCATTCCTCCTTGATGGAGCAGAAAGATGGAGATAGAACAGGTTTTGCAACCAAGACAAACTGATGCCTGCTGATTCTTGGAAATTTTGGCACAAACACCAATTAATTTGTTTTAGGTGGAGTTAGTTTTCATGCTTTTTTCTTTGACTTCAGTCAGTTGTGTTTCAATGACACTTTTGTTTTAATGGCAGCTAAATTCAAAATAGGTTATTCCTTGCAGTTCGACTGATAGTATTTTTATAAATTAACTTTTGGTTATAAAAATGCCCTCTTTTCCAACAGTTTGAGTTTGCCTCATACAAAAGTATATGAAAAAACTGGAAAAAAAAAAACCAAACCCACACAACACGAGTTAAACCAGAGTTCCTAAAAAAGCCAGTGAATTTCTACTTCTTGGTCTCTTTCCAATACAAAGAAGATAGCTTTGAAGTCAGATCACTATTAATTCACAGAGTCTGAGGATGAATGTGTTCTTTCAAACTACTAACGTGAACATTTGCTTACCAATGAAGCCCAGCTGAGAAAATTCTAGAATCATCCAATCTTCAGAAGCGAGCTGAAGCGCAAAATTTTTTATTGTGCTGAAATAATTCTGCTTGACAACGATGTCATCTTCAAGCTACAGGAAGGTAGCAGTGATATCAACATAAATAAAAAAAAGCACCAGCAAAGCAACAGAAAAAAGTACAGCTAGGAAATACTGATTTATAATATATTGCTAACACATAGCCATATATTTCTAATGCAAGCGCTGCTATAAAACCTAGATGCAATAGCCAAGAAAAACTATTGAAGGGATCACAGTTTATTTGTAGAGAACTAATCCAGAATCTTTCTGTAGTAAGAATCTACAAATGTATTTCAATTTATTACTTCAGAATATTGCTTTTCTAGCTTCTCTCTTCAGAGAAAGATCATCCATGAAATAATGTTAGACTAAGTGACATCATCAGTACAACAACTAGAATATCCGTATCATTTGTATGCAAACGTGACTCTGTTTACTCACGCACCTAACAGCACTGAAAGAACTTCTCCTCTGAGACAAGAAGCTAAGAGACACATTGTCTGCAGAGGTGGGATTCATTTCACCTGGCTTGACCTGCCCAACAGAAGAACAGGTGCATAGTCCAAACTCATTATCTAGTCCGGGCAGCAGAACTGCCAAGCTGTGGTGCTACAATTCCTTTAATTCATAGTAGGTGCAGACTACTGCTTTAAGGATCCTGCTTCTCCTGTCCTTTCTCCCAGTGCATTCATGCTCTCCCCCTTGTGCTGGCACTATTTGTGTGACTGCCTAGTTTCAAAAAGACTGTCTCATGTTATTGGCTGTGCAGCTTCCAGGAGAGCTGAGTCTCCAACAGCTCTCCGAGAGCAGTCAACATAGCTTTGTAAAAACTAGATGAGATGAGTGGGTCTTTATACCCAAAAGACACAGTCCCAAAATCTAAATAAAGATCATAAGCACAGTTACTCACTAAATCTGCAGTAACTGTAGGTAAGGCTTCTACTTCAAAGCAGCAAGACACAATAGGAACAATTCTGAGCTAAATTAAATTTAAGAAGAATTGTTTAACTCTGTTCTTGAAAACCTCTTTAAAAAAGAAAAAAGAAAACAAGTCTAGCAACACATTGAAAACATATCTATATGTAACAGTCATATTAAAGTGATGCTGCACTTGCCTTCAAAAGAAAGTAAAAATGGATTTTAGCTCGATTTCCACTCAAAACTATGCTGGTGGTTTTTGCCTAGATGACTCAATGGTAACTCATTTGGGGGACAATCATTTGAGGGACAAGGAAAAAAACAGCAGTTAAGCTGTCTGCATTCCTTCACTTTTTTCACTAAGCATCTTAAGATAATGTAAGTCGCATAGGACAAATTACTTTCTACTTCAGAAAGTGTCCTCCACAAATTACTTCCTCATACACCACATCTCCATACGCCCTCCTTCAACTTCGGAATCAAGTTATCTCTGTTCTGTGTAGGTCCTTCTGATGTGTCCAACAGTATAATTTCTGGAGACTCGTTTGAAAACTTGTCTCAAAACAAAGAAGAGAAATTTACCTGAATGTAATAAACCCCCTTTTTCTGGGCATACATCATAAGAAAACAATAATCCAAGTTTTGTTTTGTTCTCCATCTGAAATTAAATTAAAAGCTTAAGGATTATGAAAAAAAGTTATTTCAATGCACGCTGGCAATGCAAAGTAAATCTCACTACGAAGAATGATGCATATTAGTGAAATGTTAGGACAGCTGCTTTTGGCATTGTTCCCTCAGGAAATCCTCTGTCTGAAAAAAAGGAACAAAGCTTTCTTTGCTTTATGATTTAATACAGACATAAAACCGGTTTAACTTGAATCCGATTTTGTGAAAACTACCTGACATTTCACTAGAAACACATGTGCATTTTAAAAGGAAATACTGGGGTTTACACTGTATTTCAGGAAGAAAAACAGTAAACAAAAAAGTCTACATACAGCAAAAAAAGTATATCAAGTCTCAGTTCTCCTCCCAAAATTTAACACTAAATGAATTCAACCAAGTATAGCATTAGGCTCTGATCATGCACAGAACAGCATGCAGATAAGAATGAGATGGATTCACAGAGCACTTTTAGCATCACCACATTTTCAAGAATTACAGTAAGAAAACATTTCAAGAATTCACATCCCACTTGCCATTTCATAAACAACGAAAGTGTGGGTGTGGGAGGAGATGGGAAAGATCTGGTGGAATAAACTAACCTCACTCTCTCTTTTGAGTCTCCAAATGTCTCTTTCAAGTTTGTCAAGTCAGGATAGTAAGTTGCAGGAGGGGCTATTACTTCCACCAAGCCAGAATTGATCTCTCTAGAAAACCTGTCAATAGAAATATCCTAAAGTCACATGAGAGATTCTGAGTTCTGTTGGTACAGTTATTATGTCCGGTTACAACAATGACTTATTCAAACAAGGCATGTAAAATAAAAGTAGTATATAAAAAAATACTGTTGTCCTTAGCATCTTCTTCAGAGCAGTATAGCCTCTTGCCCAAGAATCGGAATTCTAAATAGATTCTAAACACTTCTTTTGCCTTTTTTTTCAGAACCTAGTGATTTTTTTTCCTATAGTTCTCTTTGAACATATGGAATTCAAGGCCCTAACACAGATGTCACAAATTTCCATTCATGTTAAATCAATCCCATCTGTTTATGTTGCACCAAATAATTTAATCCCATTTATTGTTTTACAATTTAACTGACTGAATCACTGCCTCTTAATTTGTCATCTATTACTTTGTTGTTCGAAAGTCCAAACCCCCAAGAAACAAAAATGCATGATCTCGTATTTCCAAATACTTTTTATTGCTTATCACAACCTGATTTAGGAACAAACAAAAAGCAAACCCACCAATAAGCTAAGAAGTCCCCCATTAAAACTATAACTTACTCTTTTTCCAGGCTTGCAACAACACTGTTAACATAATCAAGATCAGTCTGGAAAAAAACAAACACAAAAAACAAATAGAATACTTAACACTTTAAAAGAACCCAGTAAAATAAACATTGGAGGTAGCTGCACATGAAAATTAATTTTAGTGTGTAAGATATTTGAGTAATATAAGAACACATCACACATGTAACTGTCTTATGTCTAGTGGGAGAAGGAACAATTTTTTTTGTAAACAGAGGGGAATAATATTTGCCTCGTATCTGCTTTTAACAGACTGTTCTAATCCAACTGTTGGTGTTTTCTTGCAACCTCTCATGCTCTTAATGACAAAACGATCACTGAGTGTTTTTGTAGGAAGAACTTCATATTATTGTTATAAAATAATAATATATATGAAAATACTACCAAGGAAAGCTTTCTGGAAAACAGGGCACTGAACACACACTCTACTTTCAAAAATACATCTCCTAAACTTTGCATTTAAAGCATGGATGCCCCAACCACAGACAGCAATGAACATGCTGTTTTCCTGGCTAGGGTTGCTTTTTTGCATCAGAGATTAAACTTGAGGGAGTATCAATCCTATCAATCACCCAGTTCTTAAAGGTGCACAGATTCTAAAAATTCCTTGTTGTAAGGAATTGTTGTAAATCATAACATTCTGGAAAAGTCTTGATCACCTAACTTGCCAGAACTGGCCGATTATTCCTTGGTCCTTGGTCATACACATGCATTCCAGGAAAAGAGAGTTTGTGAATTCATAAATGTGACTGAAAATCCTAATCTTTGTTATACTTACTAATCTAATAATTTGACATACTATTTATCAGTTTTCAAAAGAAAATTTACAGTCTATAAATCAACGCAGATTCTGGTGGCTCATGAGGATTCTGCAGAAATAGCTGCCTTTGAAATGCTGGAAACAAAGGAACAGTTTGTGCTTTTTCTGATGAATTTGTAATGCAGATTATCATTAAAGGATTATACACACAGAGAATAAATCCCTCCCAAGCATTTCTGTAGAACCACTAATCTTGTTTGATAAAGGTGCTTACCCTTTGATCTTAAAAATCACCATTCCTATTTTTAAAGATTTATTTTTATAAAATCCAACATAATGCCAGTGACGCACACTTTTCCAAAAAGGACAACAGTGGGTTTCTTCCAAAAGCAGGTTCTAAATACTACAAGAACATCTGAGTAGAAAGCACTTGTCATAACTTTTTCATGCATATTTTCTTCATAAGTGCTATGCCTAGTGCTGGACAGAAATTCTAATAAGCAGATAAGGTGTTCACAATTTAAAACTCATCCTGCAGTGAGCTCCACACAAGCAGACTCATAGGTCCATATGGACCTCGATATATCACTAAGTCTTTAAATACACATATGGATTGTTTATGCACAGTTTATTACTGGAATGGAGTTTAAGACATAACTTTTTCTGCTGTGTATAACAGTTGCAAATCAGTGACCTAGTGACTACCTAGAAATAATTTTAGTATATACATCTTTAACTGAAACTTTTTTTTCTTTTTTTTTTAAACCTTTTAAACATTAAAAATACAGAAATTGTTGTTTAGTCGGCATACGAAAAAGACAACAATTTGAATTTCCAGTTGGCATGCCAAACTTCAATTACCCGGTCTAGCATTAATAACTCAAATACTTGTTAAACAGTCCATAAAAAAAATGCAAGATTTTTTTATATATATATAAAAAAATATATACATACACAGAGCAGAAACACAGCTAGTTTCTATACAGTATTCCAGAGATTAAAATAAGCGCCAAACTTCATCTCAATTAGAAACATGTATTTGCTCACAAGCCTGTGCCTTAGTGCCAGTCTCCTTAGAGTGAACATAGTTTTGACCTATTTTGCAGATACACCACAAAGCCTTGCTAGTGCTTTTAAAACTTTACAGGCTTATACAGAACACACCACAATCAGAAAAAAAAGAAAGTCTGGAATAAGAGGGGTTTTTCCCTACTTTCCCTTATTGCATGCGTCCTTCACGCAAAAGGTTGGCAGTTTTCTAGTCAGAGCTGCAATCACAATAGCTTCACGTTAAAGAGATGTAGCCTGTGGACTTCCAACCTCATATTGTAATCTGTGCTGCTGGCACACAAAATCAAGATGGTCTGGTCTAGCTGCACTGAATACGAGATACGGCAAATACCGCTGCTCGTTTAGTACGTAACCTTCCTTCTGAATCAACAATCACTGCATCAGCATAGTGCCAAAGGAGACGCCACTTTTAGAATGAAAAAGAACATTGAGATTAAAACAGTTGATGTCATTTTTCATATGAGCAAATCCATTAAAAACTTGATATCCTGCCATTACTTCTAAATATTACTTCTAAATAAGCAGTTGTATTTATAGCTACCAGCAGCATCTGAGATTCAGAACCAGGATTTCAACACCAAACTCTTCAGCAGGTTGACTGCCATCTTTCCACATCAGAACTTCCTGAGGCAACCAACTCCTCTTGTTACCCAGCCTAACACTAAGTGGGATCTTTGCCAACACCCTTCAGCTGTGGACATGTCCCAGGAAAGTAGAACTTGTAAGTTATTTCACACAACCTCATGAAGTAAATATGAGAATATGCAATAAATCTGATCAAGCTTAACTATACCCAAGGGAAGAGTTAACTATAGAGAAGACTTTGCAGGGTAGCAATGGAAGGAAATCTGGAATAGCCAGATAATTGCTCTGACTTAAGGATCTTCCATGCAGTATCAATAAATTCAGCCAATAACTGAAAAGTGCCAGGGGGGAAAAAAAAAAAAAAAAAAAAAAAAAATCTATTGTTGACCAAAATTTATTTCCCATTTTTGAGGAAGAAAGCATTTACTGCCTTGACAAAATAAGACCTAAGGTCCTCTTTATGAACCTGCAGGACATGAGGCACCTGAAAATAATTATGAACTGTATACAACATGAAGCAGTAATACCCTTGTCTTCTCCGAGAACCTTAAACACGACAAGACAAATCCAGATTAATCAAAAGGAAGTCATCCATGAAAGACAAAGTGTAACTGTTCATCAGGCTTCCAGTGAAGATCATCTGATAGATAGCAGGTTGACTTTGGAGCAGCTACAACGAACTTAAATTCTGTTTCACGGTATCAGCGCTGCTTGCAACTATTGAAAGGAAATGTCACTGGTGATCCCAACAAAAGCAGCACAACCTGTAAGACTACAGCTATGAATGTTTTTTGTCTACCAAATCAGAAGGCAATAACAAAACCAGAATTTTTCCTTAGTAAAACTCTCAAGGTTGAAGATTAAATAATCCCTAGGAGTTTGGGACCCAAGAAAAAGAAGGAAAAATGAACATTTTAAGAACTAATCCTTTTAAAGCAATTAAATGCAAAATTGTGATAGGCCACAACCAAAAAGTTAACAGTGCCAGCCACAAAGATGCATTTCATCAATGAATCACACGGAGCCTTACAAACAAGTTTGTCCTGTTAGGTGAATCTCTGGGAACTAATGAAAGGCATAAGGGGGGTGGTTATTTCAATATCAGCACTTCAAATCTTTCTGCCTGTTCTTTCTTCCTAGTCATATGAAATTACTAGTCTCTGAGAGAAAGCAAGAACACTTGGAGCGAGACATCCTCTTTTTTTCATTCATACCAGATCAGACCAAAGATTGATCCAGCTCGGCATCTTGCTTCCAGCAGTGGCAGCCATGAACAGACACATAGCAAAGAATAAGAACAGGACAAGCATGCACAATACTCCCTCCTGCTACCATCCACATTCCGACTACCTTCAATTCAGGTTACTTCCTGAGACAGATGTGATTTTGCGTATTTAATATTCCCCAGTAGACCCCTCTTCAAGGTGCCTTGCTATTATCCCCTTGAGTCTATCTAAACTTTCAGCAAGTAAAAGAAGATTTTAGCTTATGAGATCTATGGAGTTTCATAAGCCTGTGAACATGGCAACATCTAAGGTTTAAATCCCTGCATCAGCAATTTTGATGAGAGACACCTATAGAGTGCTTTGATGAATCTCTCTAAAAGAAAACTGAGAGTCCATTGTGGAACAAACTAAAATTTCAGCCTGTCAGTAAAATAAATTTCCTCAGTTTTTATAAGATGCTGCCCTACAATTTTCTAAAGCACCTTCTCTAGTTTAGGTGAGGCTGCATTTCAAATTTGCAATTATTCTAAGGTTTGTCTGAACAAACACTGTTATTCATAACAAACACACAAAGAACCAGAGCAGCAATGAACCTTCCAATCTTTTTTATTGATTTTTATGAGTGAGTGTGTGCATAGCAAAGTAGTAGAATATATTAGCTAGCGGACAAAACAAGATGTTAGAAAGCTCTGATTAATAGCTAGCCAGCTGCCAGACAAAACCAAGATTTCTAGTTTTAAGAATCAACCCTTTCGTGCTGTTAAATCTTACCTACTTCATACCTTCAAGAATGACAGAAGGTGCACTGTTTCTCTTAGCCAGTAGCAGATGCATAGAAAAAAAAGATCCAATCACAGAATCAGAAAATATCTCAAGCTGGAAGGGACCCATAAGGATCATCGAGTCCAGCTCCCTGCTCCTTGCAGCATTGCCTAAGACTAAACAATACAACAAAGAGCATCGTCCAGATGCTCCTTGAATTCTGACAGGCTTGGTGCCATGACCACTTCCCTGGGGAGCCTATTCCAGTGACTGACCAACCTCTCAGTGAAGAACCTTTTCCTAATGTCCAATCTGAACTTCCCCCGATGCAGCTTCATTCCAGTTCCTCATGTCCTATCACTGGTCACCAGAGAGAGGAGATCAGCACCTCCCCCTCCATTGATCACCTTGAGGAACGTGTAGATGGCGATGAGGTCACCCCTCAGCTTTCTCTTCTCCAAGCTGAACAAGCCAAGTGACCTCAGCTGCTCCTCTTAAGTTTTGCTCTCAAGGCCTTTCACCATCTTGGTCGCCCTCCTCTGGACACACTCTAGTAGTCTGATGTCCTTCTTATATTGAGGTGCCCAAAACTGCACACAGCACTCGAGGTGGCGGCCGC